CACGTGCAGTGCTGATAAGCACCACGTGTTTCTGTGATTCCTATTTTCTTCTTTCTATGTAATTCTTTCTCCTGATGAGGAGGGACCTTTAGCTGCCCTCGAAATCGATTGAGTGTTTCATTATACCTACGCTAAATATAAGGTTGTTTTTTACGATTTTGATTGTCACATTAGCGTGTTTCTCTTCTAGTCTAAATGGTACATCTTTAAATACAAATAAGGGGGGAATTGGTAGTATTTATTTATAAAGCACAATTTTAAGTTTTGATATTTTGGCAACATTGATATTAAATTGTAAAAAGAAGGAGTTAAAAATGTATCTGGAATTGAGAGAGTTTTCATTATTTATGGTTTGGTAGAATGTGGTAAGATTTCTTATGTCTGATTTTCTTTGAAAAAGGTTTCTTTTTGTATATTGCCATAATAATATGTTTTTGTTAGAAGTGGATGATTCTTTGAGACTGTTATTTATATGCCAATCTTAAAAACCAACAGGATATTATATTTTAGATAAATTTATAATCATTATAAATTTAGGTACATTTAATAATTAGATTTCTTTACAGTAACTTGCACAGGAGTTTATGAATGAATAAATCCTTCATTTCAAATACATTTATAAATAATTTAATAAATTTTACTTTTTTTTTGTTAAAGATACATGCTTTTTGCAAGGCATATGCATAAATACCCATACATATTTTTAATTTTCGGCACGTGCAAATCTTTAATTTCTGTGCATTCATTATATTTTTCGAGTAAATTAATTTACAATAATTTAGCATATACCCGAAATTTTTACATAAGAAATATGTATAAATATAATTTGGATGAAAACTACATGCATTATTTTTAATATCCACTCAAAGGATCAGTTTTCTTCGAAATTTCTCCGCGATATCATCTCTCCCTTGCATGCCTTACTCTGTTTAATATTAACCTGACCTATGTGCCTAATTAGAAATATTTTAACATACATAATTTTATATTTGTATTTGGCCATCAAGTTTCAAACTTTGGACTTAAAACACGTTTAGGATACACTCATTATCAAATTCAAATCTTCTAGTAAATATATTCTGGCTGCGCCTTCAATACCTTTTTAGCGATTTTACCCAGTTTAATAATTCTCTGATAATATAATAAATATTATCTACCCATTAAGACACAATAAAACGCCGAACAAGTACTAATTTTAAAGTCAAACAACAAAAATCAGCGCTATATTTTCAAATTTTCACAGGACTAGTTATGATTATTTTACCGAACCACCATCGTCAGCTGCAAAAGCGCAAATGAACGAGATAGGATATAATGATCAGATAAGATAACCCAACATTATTAATCAAGCAGTTAAAAAATTCTCATATCAACACACTGAAAGGCACACTCTTGTTTTAGAAGATTATAAAAATTCTGTTGTCATTCCTGGTTCCCCAAACCATCATCGGTTTGCCTTCCACCACACTTAATCATGTCATCCGACTAAACAAAAGTTAACTTAATTTTCTTCATGTGTTTTCCGTGGTCTTCAAGTTTGCTCTTCCAAACTATCCCTTGATGAAGATCTAAATTATTTAAAAGCAATAGCTATTGACAGGGGCTTTTCACCCAACATTATTAATCAAGCAGTTAAAAAATTCTCATCTCAACACACTAAAAGCACACTCTTGTTTTAGGAGATTATAAAAATTCTGTTGTCAATCCCTTCTTTCCATCAATTTCCCTGTAAAGTTGCACATATTTTGCAGAAATTTAACTTTTGGGTCGTTTATTCTCCCATCAATAAAATTCCGAGTTCCATACTCAAGGACCCCATTCCGGATATGAATTCCTGGGGTATTTATAGGATTCCTTGCCAGTGATGATAAATTTACATTGGCCAAGCTAGGAGAGCCTTAAAATTTCGCGTCAAGGAACATGAAGCATATGTTAGAAAAAAGAAAACATAAAAGTCTTCTGTTGCCCAATATTGTTGGTCGGAAAATCACACTTTCAATTTTTCTGCAGCCAAAATTATTCAAAAAACATCTTCCATTGGAGAAGTGGATTTTCTGGAGGCGTTTCACATTCAAAAATATCTTTCTGTTCTAGTTAACGATCCTAATTCCAATCCATCTTTGTCTTCGGCCTTTAAAGAAATTATGCCTTAGTTCTGGTTTAACCAACAGATGGCGCCACTAGATTATTTTCTGTCCAGGCTTTTCTATCTTATCTGATCATTATATCCTATCTCGTTCATTTGCGCTTTTGCAGCTGACGATGGTGGTTCAGTAAAACCATCGAAACAAGTCCTGTGAAAATTTGAAAATATAACGCTGATTTTTGTTGTTGAATTAGTATTATCTACCCAATTCAAATTTAAACCTTAAAAGCATAGTCATTTAGCACAGCAAGCTTCCATGCTGAATACCCTTCAGTATCAGTATTCAATTTTTTTGCTGTTACTGGTTCTCAATTTCTCAGAGAAATCTTTAATCCAAGAGAGAGTTAATTTGAGAATCGGGAATTTTGCCATTTTGTAATTACGATACTGAGAATAAGTATTGTAATATTCTCCAGTTAGCCATTCTTTGTCTGTGAGCAGGAACCTCGAATTTCCGAGAAAAACAGAATTACGTGGGAAACATTTAAAAATCTGGAATCAATAAGAGGATCATTCATGATCGGACCTCCTTTGGCAGAATGCACAAATGTTTTCACCTCCGTCGATTACCCTATTTTCAAATTCTTAATGAGCTGCCTTGATGACGTAGCACGTTCACATGGTCACATCATCTTGACCGCCCATGGTACCAATGGCGTAGCTAGGGTGGACATCTGTCATGGTACCAATGGCGTAGCTAGGGTAGACATCTGTCCCCGGACGCAGCATCCAAGGGGCGCCAAATTGATGCTACGAAATTTTTTAATGAAATGTTTTCATTTTTTGGTACACAGATAGGTGCGCAAATTCTTCAGTTGTCCCCGGGCGCTGGAAACTCTAGCTACGCTCCTGCATGGTACATCCGCCGAATTCACAAGTGTATCCGTCTTCTTTTCCACACATTTATATAAAATTGTACATGATTTTACACAAATGTGTGGTCGTAAATCATGGAAAAGTTAACTTATTAGCATATCTCTGTGTATATTTATTAATTTCGACAAGGATTGCAGCATTTGGTGATAATTTTATTTCTTAATTAACCCGAATACGTAAAATGTGTAAACTCGGATTGATTATTTTTCAGTTTATAAAAATAAAATTATGAGTTTAAAATGAACAACTATAAAGTCTGTCCTCTAAAAATTTTTAAAACTGCATGTTACAATAATATGTGTATGGCAAAAAATAATATTTTATTTAAAACATTTTGGCATTTGGAACATAAAATAAAAGTAGCGAATACTCTATCAAGGGTATCGAAAGACGTATACAATATTAAAGGTACCGTAAGGTATTTTTCATTCTTTAAGCATAAGATTTTTGCTAAAATCTATATTTTTGTAGTTCAGCAGCTTAGAATTTTATAAAACAAATGCATAATCAAAATCGCTGTCGTTAGTTATCGAAAAATAATCAAGATGTAACTTTTGCGTATATGTGACTAAACTATACAAATTGCTATTATCCATCACATACCGATTGTTTCTTTTATGCGGGAATTTTTCGATTTGTATGGAACTGTCGTGTGTCGAAATATTATCGAAGCGCTTCTGAATGTAAAAAAAAACACCCCATCTGGAGACCGAAGCCTTGGAGCAGTGCTTCACTCGTAGTGCCGGCCTGGCCCCTCCTTCCTTTCTTACCTCCATGGAAAATGAAGGGACCACAAAAAATTTCGATTACCGGTTTCGCCACTAAGTACTGCAATTAAGGCAAGACGGGAAGAGACGAAATCGGGAATGGGAAACAAACATAAATGTATGAGGGAGCACCAAAATATAGGGCATCTAAAAGTTTTAATCCGCCCCTGATCGTCATGCAAATAAAGCTTTATTTAAATGCGCGATGCGCTGCAAATGAAAAATGAAATTTCTATATGCATAAGCATCATGATGCCTCGGCTTAGAAGTCCCCGAACTTTATTAGGTTGCTTTTTTTTTTCTTCAAATTATAAGTCGAGCTGCATAAAAGGGAGGTATGTTGACGAAGGTTTCTTTCTTTTCAAAATGTAGTCAAATTGTATAAAAATGTCAGAAGCTTTTTAATATGGAAGACACTTATGAAGCGCTCTCGACTAACAAAGATCTTAACTTTTCCTCAAAAATTAATTTTTCGATAACAAGTTTTACTTACAGAACTAACTATGTTAGTAAAAGGTCATTGCGTTCTACGTACCCATAGGAGCTTTCTTTGTAAAATATTTCAGTCTAAATATGAAATCTACAAAGAAAATTCATTTTGACCATAGGTTTGTCTTAATAAATAAATTTTTATATTAATTATAACGGAGTCATATTGCGTTTGATATGCCAATAAATCATACGTAATTTAAGATCTTATAGTCATCAAAAGAAAACATCTGTGAAATATATAAGCAAAAGCGATTTCTTAGTAAACTAAGATAAAATTCATTGAATGCACTCACTAAAAGACAAAAATTCAAAGCAGCGTTCTCCCTTTGAAACTGAAACCTGAATTCTGAGGTTGGCTGCTAAGGTAAGTTGTATACACAAAACAACACGCGCGCGCACACACAAAAGTATTAAAAGAATAAACGATCTAGAAAAAATAACTGAAAATATTCTAATTGAAATATTGAAATCCTGCTACTTTTATAGCTTAGTGTTCGGTGAATTATTGTTGTAACCAAGTGAAATTATTTTCTAAATGATTCACTTACCACTAACTATATCAAGCAAAGTACTTTTAAAGTATTGAAGATAAGGAAAATATATTATATAACATTAATTGGCAACAGCATTTATTTATAGTGCTCAAGATTCTATCCAATCTGAAAATAATAAACATTTCGAAAAGTTTTTGAGCTGTTTAAAAAACGAAATTTGTGTACTTCTGCAATAAACGTCCCATCGCTTCGCAGTTTATATTTTCGGTATTTAAATCCTATCGGAGTGTCTCTGTCGTAGATCGTAACTTTTTGCTGGGCCCCTATCTGTACATGTAGTTTGATGTAACTGGCAAACACGACATCAGTGATCACGTACAATATGTTAACTCCACAGAGACCTGAAATTAAAGAAAGAGAGTTATTAGCTTATGCAAACTCGATTCAGTTTATTTTGCTATACCTCTACTCGTCAGGTTGTTGTAACCCACGTGATCATCATGAAAACAGTCAATTGCTGTTTTTATGATATGCTTCATAAGCTGAGTTTAATTAGTCTTTAATTAAAGGGAATGTATGTTCATAGATCAGAAGCAGCAATGATGAAGCTCCTTATATTTAATACACCATATTTAATTTCTAATCTGCGATTATTTTTTCAAGATTATTTTTCCTGTCTTAATCGTGTCTGCCCTGTTATGCAGGTTGGCCGGTTTTCACCAAGGTAAAATCTTCACCAAGGTATCTCGGCGCCTTTATGAAGGTAAGTTTACAACTTGAAACTGTATACAGTCTAAAAGAAACTTTACTTTTTAACTCTGTGTTTCTTTATAAATTATGTGACCTAACGGTACTTCACTAAGAGTTATTCCTAAATATCATGAGGTCCGCCTTTACAACGAACAGAATATACCAGCTATAAGGTATTTCTCCCGCTTTCCTAGCGTGCCTTCGTGGTGTAGTTGTTCTGCATGCTGGGCCGGTGTTCCAGAGGTTCGATTCCCGGTGAAGGCGGTTGCTAATTTTTCAATTCTCCTGCTTCCAAAAAATACCTAATGTCTCTATACAGCTAGCATAAAAATTTTGTCTCATTTTGGGATGTTGGAATATAGAGGGTAACTGATTCTTTTCAGGTAAAGGTACGTCGAGAGTAGTGGTAAGGGAAAAGGTCATGATTCATTGGAGCTGTTAAAAAATGTTTAAAGAACGGTCCCTCAGCTTGGTCAAAAATCGATGTTCTCTGCATTATGCTAAACAGGCTTTCTTGGGCGCAGAATAGAGGAGAACGCAAACAGCAGGCCATGTTTACAAATAGACGAGATTTCAAAACCTTAATTTTCTTTTCAGGGCTGCAGTAGTCCGTTCTTTCACTTTTTAAGCACAACAGTGCTCCTCCATATAGGCTAATCTGCTGGAAGATGTTCTGAAAAGTATGAATATTAATTGGATAGGTATGCTAGACAGATCTCTAGGCTTAAATCTTATTGAACATATCTGAAACATCCTTCAGAACTCGAAAATCTTGTACCTGCAGGAGTAGTACCAACTGTCACAAGGCCTCATAAACTATTTCATTTCTAGTAAGAAATCTCGTTGTGATTTGTTCGATTTTGCAACCTGTGTTATAAACCTTCCTGTGTCGATGAACCTTGCGCACGGTTCTACATATGTACTATGACCGTTGTATGGTACACTGTGGAAAAAAAAAAAAAAAAGAAGACAGTTCTTTACCTCCCGTTCTATTGGGCCGATTGACGAAATTCAACTTGCGTTATTCATGTCTCGAAAGAGCGACTTATGATATGTATTAAATTTATATATTGTTCTAATATAGGTATATAGGTATTTTGAGATCAATCCTGCATAATTGGAGTGAGCAAGAAACTTGGCGAGAGTTTTTAGTTTGGTGCAATTTCGATATGGTTGTGGTTTCCAGCTGTATGTTTTCCTGTGACAAACTTAGAGCTTTATTTAGGTGATTGTAATGAGTGCGAGTTTAGTGTAGCCAGAAGATTCTTTTTTTTTTTTTTTAAATTAATTTTGAAATACTGTGTTTGTTTTTAAAAGTTTCATTGTTTAATATTTGCAGCAAGTTAAGCTGTTGTTGGTGGGAGAATGTCGGACTTCAGATGAATAGGTTTATAATTTATGAATGCTTTCATTTAATTTTATTTAGTTAATGTTTTCGATACTTTTCCGTTTTGCCGGCGCAGTCGATAAAGTCGCCAATAATGGTACAACTGATGGCAAACGAAATATCTTCGCTGGTAACCTTTTATGCCTCATTTTCAATACAAGTCGCAGCCATTTCTTATCAGATAGATTGGTTCTTTCAATACTGGCATACAATTGCATACAATTTTTACCTGATAATACAATTTTATGCCCTAAGGCCATTCGCGGTATTTAAGTCAATTAGAATGCAATCACACCGATCACCTGAAAGTGAAAATATATAAAAGGCAAAATCAAGGGTTAAATTCATCAATTCTAATGAGAATAAACTAGCGAAGTAAAGCACTGCGGTTTTAAATAATTTCTGAGTAAGCTTAAACTTGTACTCAAAATTAAGATTTAACTTGAAATTAACATAGATAATTACTGAGAAAGTTAGATTTTTGTAGCGTAGTTTACGTGAGATGAGATCACTTGGGATCACGTGATATGAACCGGCGAATCAGCTTGTTGAACCATAATAAATTCTTAAATTAATGTCTTTTTACACATTTTTATTGTCTTTTTATTCGCTTTTCACAAAATTTTAAACTATATTAAAATGTTTATGACTTCAAAATAAAAAATTCTTAGAACTAACATTTATTAACAATTTTATGTGTATCCGGTGAAACGGATAAGTACCATGTTTTCCGTGTCAGTTAATTTTTTATAAGTTTTGTTTCTTGCATGTGGCAATCGAAATATGTGGAATGTTTAAAGTTTTGAACGAAAGTTGTTTGGTGTGTTGAATTCCACGATGATAGTAACTTGGGTGCTGCTTTGGTAGACGGTTGCACGGATTTTTGGCGATTTACTTTGGCGCAATTGTTGGCGTGGCTTTTACAATCAGCTATCTTGAAAAACGCTGTTTTTACGTATTTTACGCACAGTAAAGTATTCGAAACTTTAAAAAAATAAATATGGTTAAAAATAAAAGATTAATTTTTTTGTTGAGAACGTTGTTTTTTAAGATGGCAGGCAAATGTAAATAAATAGATTTACTACGAGTATAAAATACTTAAGTAAGGTTAAATTATTATTTTCATATAGCAAAGCAAAGAATAAAAACACCGCTATAAAAACGTTGCACCAACATTTAATTGGATTAAAATATTACTTAAACTGAATATCGAATTAAAAACCATCATACCAACGTTTAAAAAAATTAAAATATTGCTTAAATTCAAATACATTAAAATAAGTAAATAAGAACGCTTCGTACACTAGAGTTAAAATGACAGTAATTAGAAGTTGACTGCTGGTAAAAAAGGAGGAATGTCGAATACTTTTTTTGCCGTTACAGCGGTTATTTCTTCCACCGTAACCACAGTACCATATAAAGATTGTTAAAAGTGTCTTCAGAATCGGCTCTTTTAACGATCTTCATCTGTGATCCGCATTTCTCGCACTTCATTGAAGGACCAATTAGCCAGGTTTCCTCCAAAAATTTAAAATAAATATCCTCTGACTCTTGTAACAATTTATAAATAAATCTTTGATTAGAAAAGACAGGTTGGCTAAAATAAGGTTTCAAAGGGCAGGGCAATTTTTTGATTCCGATTCCAATAATTCTTGGTACTAACCAATAACAACATTGATCTTTGAAAGGGACATTATTAGTATTATTATCGTATATCCGTTCGTTATGAAATCGAAGGAATTCAAAGAGATGAATAATAAAATTTTAAAATGGCGCGGTTATGCAAAAATATTCAATAACCAATCAGAAAGCTGATTACAGCTCGTTAATGCACAAATATTCTGTAACCAATCAGGAAGATGATTATATCAAGCATAGAATTAAAATTATTTAAATTATCATACATAATAAAATCATTTAAAAAAATGCAAAATTAAATTGTATTTTAATATTTAACAGCCATAAATAATGTTTAAAACATTAGCTTAAATTTACAGATATTAAAACCAATTACTTTTAAAGTAAGGTGACGTTATTGATTACATCATCCACAACATAAAATTATATAAAATATCATAAACAATAAAATTTTTATTTCAAAAAAAATTCAAAATTAAATTCATTGTTAATATTTAGAAGCCATAAGTATTATTTAAAACACGGAATTTATGCATAATAAAACGCATTATTTTTAAATAAAATGACAACAAAGCATCGGTTACCATACATGACTTGTCCAGCAATTGGGTTACCATAAACCGTATCGCTCGCCAAAAAAAATCTCCAAAATCCGTGCAACCGTCTACCAAAGTAGCACCGTAACTTGTATATTTTAGGAAGTTTATGATGCATCCGTTGTTAAAGACTTTGAATAACTTTACTTGGTTGACAATTTTGGAGTCCGAGGAAAGTGTTATACAATTTATTATTTTACTATTTTATTATTTATTATACTATTTTATCATGAATTACATTGATAGGACTATGTTTTTACTTGCAAAGTAGATAGACTTTGTTTTATTCATCTAGTATTTTATCTCATTTTAGTATCCTGTTTACATAAAATAATGGCGTTTCACTACTGCAAAACTTAAAAGTTACTATTCTGTTTACGTTTAGAAATCACATCTTAGTGCTCTCATTGCCGCCAAAAAATTTGCCAAATTTTGAAGGCCAAAATAGTTTGGCGTCAACTTACCCTGCTTATGGAAAATTAGCCTATTTTGACACAAAATCGGTCTTTTCTGAAATGACCTGCCAATTTTTTTTCCATATTTCAATTCTACGACTCAAATTACGCCAATCTGCCAAGTTTTGTAAAAATCTCACGAGCGGTTTTTAAAACATTAACGCTCAAAATTTTAGCTCCTTGATGTTAATTGAGTTTGGCATATTTTATAAATATCTTTTTTTTTTTTTATATTTATAAATATATCTTTTTTTATTAAATTTATTTATTTGATTCTTCCGGTCACATTTCGAAATTTAGGTTCATTCCAAATAATATTCGCCCATTTCTTATGATTTATTTTTAAAATTTGTATTTTGAAATAATTCTTATGTTTTTCAAACAAATTTTGAATTATAACCTATAAAATTTTTACCATCATCTGATCATACATTTTTACCATCATCTGATCATGCTTAAAAATACATCAAGTAGATGTATTTTTAAGCATACCTGCAAAAAAATTAGAATTTTTATTCAAAATTTCCAAAGATATACGTGAATTTATATATTGGCACGTTTTGGAATTTGGCACA